TTTGTAAACAATGGGTGACGTCGCCACCGGACCCTACCACCGCCGGGGCCCGGGGGGCGCCGCGCCGCGGGGGGGCGGGGCGCCTGCTGGCGGGGGGTCCTGGATGAAGCCTGCGGCGTCTGAGCTGCGTTGTTGGAATTGCAGTCTGCTGGGGTGCAATGGGGAGCTGATCGTCGCTTTCTCAGCCGGTCGCCACTGGCATTTCTGGAAGAGTGACACCCGCGTGGACTCTGTTGGTTTCTTCCACTCACAAGCGTATACACTTACACCCACACACCCCCCTTCTCTAGGCGGGTCTACTGATTTGGTGTAATCCTTTGCGCTTTTGAGTTCTGGGGTGCCGGCCTTTAGGCGGTGATAAGGCGAATAAGGGGAGACTAGGAAAGTCAGGCTAGGCGAGAATAGAGGCCAGGCTAGGGATGTATCTAGAGATTAGGGAAAGAAGGCTGATAGAGATGAATAGGAAGACGTCGTGTGGGCTGTGGGGGTGGTGAAGTTGGGAATGGCTAGAAAGACCACAAGTTAATTTTTCTTGGTCAGCAACGTGGGCTTGTTGGGTATGAACTGCGGGTGGCATTACCGGGGAGGAAGTGGTTGCAAGTTTTGGGAGGGTCTCTGAGCTAGACATTTCGTTTTAGGAATGCCTCATTCCAGTAGGGGAGTATCCTGTTTGAAGCGTAGCAGGAGAGAAAAATGGTCAGCTGTTTGCATGGAAATGTAGATTTGGGCCTTCAAGATGTTATGGCTGATTTAATAATTAACCAAGAGTTCACCCATTGATAAATACAAATATTAGAATAGCAAAGAGGAAGCTACAGCGATAACCTTGTTTTTTTCAAACATCAGAACCTCACATATCACAGCAGTAGAGCAGTGGGTGAACACCTTCTAGAGGCTTAATCCAAACATGTGTCGGCAAATGGGGCCCTCACTACTCTACTTCTGGCATCATCCACTGGACTGTGGCTTTTCCGGGTATTGGAAACCTTTAGTTTGTGATCCCCCATTATAGATCTGAACTCCAACAGCTCTTTCTGCAGGCAGGAAGATCTTCTGGTCAATTTGGACATCAACGTCTTTTTTTTGGGTGGCAATTTTGTAGAGATTGCTTTTTGCAATGCAGCCGAGACTAGAGAGAAATCCTGTCTCCTGCAGCGAACAATACATTGTTTAGGCCTTGGATCATTAGTGCTAACCCTGCAGGGCCAGTTTCCCAGCAGTACTTGGTACCTGGCTGTGTCTCTTTTACTTCAGTTAGTAGGTCTGCAGTAAGGGCATCTCTCACTCTGAGAGTGAACATTGCTTGATTCATCAAATTAGGTATCTGAGTTCTCTTCTGCTCAGTTGGCTCTACTTATGTATTCCTTCAGTCTATGAGCTTGCACCTGATGAGCCTTCTCAATGTTGAACTCTTCTACCTAACCGTCTGTTACTTATGTTATCTCATTTATATTCAGTAAAGGCCATCCTAAGTTTAATCTGCTTGTGTCACTGAGGGCCATGGTGAAAAAGATAGACCAATGAAAGGGAATGATGACAAGAGAGGGAGAGGAAAAGTGTTTGAAGGCTTCGACTTCCCTTGCTTTACTGTAACTCTCTCAAGACTTAGGATGCTCCGGCCTCTCTGGTGGTACAAGGGGTTAAGTCTCAGCACTATGAAGCTATTGGCAGCCACTGCTGCACAAGTTTGATCATGGTGCAGCAGACCTCTCCTGTCTCCCCCAACATTCCCCTCAGCAGTGTATTTCAGTACACCTGCCTGTGGTGCTCACCAGTCTGTCTCTGGTGAATCCTCTCACACACACACACACCCCTCCCCCAACATCTCTGACCTGCACTCCAGCTCTTGTATGCAAAAATAAAATAAATCTTTAAAAAGAGGTGGACTTATTTTTTTGTCATGTATGGAGGGAACAATGTGAGAACAAAGGAAGAGAGAGTTTGAAGGAAGCCATTAAGTTTTCAGTTCTTGGCAATGAGGACTTCTATAGGGTGACATAAAATGTTATGTCTTATACATATGTGTAGGTATATATATATGTATATTGCATCATTGTTCATTTTTTGTTCAATGTATGCTGTTTGCTTCTCCTTTTAGGTGTATTCTCTGTGAAATTCCCCCCATCGATTCACCCATGAGCCATCACTATAGTCTCTTGTGCTACTATCTCCCCTGTTTTGATCCTTTTCCTCCCCCTTCCTCACAGAATGTCTCTGATTTATGGTTGCCTGCTAACTTTGTGAATTTTATGCCTTTTATTCTTTAGAATTTTCTACATATAAGGTCATGCCACCTGCAAACAGAGTTAGTCTTCTTTTTCAATCTGGATGCCCTTTATTTTTCTAAGCTAATTGCACAGGTTAGCACTTCTAGAACAACGTTGAATAAAAGTGTGGGAGCAGACATCTTCGTCTTGTTCCTGAGGAAATATTTGGGGTTTTATCACTAACGATGATATTAGCTGTAGGTTTTTATCAATGACTTTTTTCACATTGAGAACATTGCCTCCCCTTCCTGGTTTGTTGACTGTTTTTTGTTTTTTTTTTTAAATCATGGAAAGATTATCCCTTTTCTTTAGTTGTTCTTTTGAGAGTATGGTCAAGGTAGCTGATTGTTAGCTAGAGTGCTCTGAACCTGATTAACATTTAAAAATGAAAATAATAAGTAGCAATTTGCAGTTAATGGTTCTATTCTTGGGTTCAATTTGTAATTTGTAATCTTCTTGCATTTTTGTGGACTTACAATTGGTATAACCACTTTGGGAAAAGATCTGGAAGTTTCTTACAAAATTAGACATACCTATCCTGTGGAACAATTTTAATTCTAGATATTTACCTAAGAAAAGTAAAAACAGCTCCACATGAACTCCTGAAAGCACATGTGCATAGCTTTATCCTAGAAGTTATAAATTAGAAGCAGTTCAAGTGTTTATCACTGATGAATGAATAAATATGAGACACTGATGAAGTGACAATGACAGAGAATAGTTAGCAAAGTGGGTGGACGTATGACTATATACAACAACAGACGAACCTCAGGAACAGTTTGTAAAACGAAATGAGACAAAACAGCACATACCATATGATTCTACTTATATGATGCTACACAATAGGCAAAATTAACTTATGATGGGAAAAAGCTCAGAAGATTGATTTTATCTTTAGAAAGGATGGGGTTTAGGGAGAGAATGACTTAGAAGAGGCTTGAGGGAACATTAGAGGATGGTGGTAATATTCTATATTTTCATCTCCTGATTTGCATTTCACAGTGTATGCAGGTACTAAAACTCGTTCAGTGTTACCTTAGAAACTCATGTAAATCTTCAGTGAAAAGAAAACCTATAAATATGGAATTCTAATTAGTGGATATGCTGATGAATTAAGGGGTTAAGGAATAGTGTTGTGTACACTTTATTCCCAAGTGCACACAAGGTGAGGTGGATTAATGTGTGGTTGGAACAGTTTTGATAGTTAGATATATGATAAAGCCGGTATGGTAAAATGTTAATATTAGTGTATGACACAATAATTCCATTCCTACTTATATCTAAACAAAATTAAAAACATATTTATATAAAAATTTGTGCACATAAAAGGTTATAGCAGCATTATTTATAATAGCCCAAAAGTGGAGCAAACCACATGTTTATTAACTAATGAATAGATGAATAAAATGTCTTTTCATACAATAAAATATTGTTTACCATCCAAAGGGTTGAGTACTATTATATGCTACAACAGGACTGACCCTTAATGACATTATCCTAATGAAAGAAATCAGACACAGAAGATGAAATGATAGATGACTGCATTTGTATGAATGTCCAGAGTAGACAAATCTGTAGAGACAGCAAGTAGGTTAGTGGTTGCCTGGGGTGGGAGGAGAGGAAAATTAGGGGTCACTACTGCGGTGATAAAAATACTCTGGAATTAAACAGTGGTGATCTTTGTGTACCATACTGAGTATACTGAAAATCACTGAAGTGTGTACTTCAAAATATATAATTTCACTCTGGGAAGTGTATCTCAACTTTTTAAATGCTAAAACATGGCAATGATGGAATGTAGAATCTAGAGAGCATCGAAGTGCTCGATAATGTAATAGGGTGTTCACTATCAAATTCTTTTGGTTTTCCTTGACTGGCAAACTTTAGAATAAAATGTGAGAAAAAATAAGCCACAGGAAAGGGTGATTAACTTTGTGACTTGCTTTAGAACTGCCCAGACGGAAAAAAAAAAAAAAGCGCTGACTGTTGGGAAGGAAAGAGGGTGGGGGGAGAAGAAAGGAGGTACACCCTGCTGGTGGATTACTGATTGCTCCACAAGGGAGCAACTGAAGTGCAGACTCACTTCAGTGTTGAAATGGTGTAGACGGGTTGTGGGTTGACTAAATTCCTGCCCACCATGGAGGAGTTGTAATTGTGTGGCAGGCTTGAGGCTTAA